GGGGACTAGCGTGCCGGTAAGCACGTAAACTCCGGGAGAAAAATCTTGGTGTTCATCTTGTGTGATTGGATTTCTTCCGGTGATTGGTCATCTTCATATTGTGAATGGTTCACTCCTCTATGTAACGGTATAATAACGTTGCTCTATCCTTTATATTCTTGCAAACTAGTTGTAACAAGCCTTTAGTGTAGCTAGTCGTGAGAGCTTGTTTTCTTACTAAGTTTAGTTTCACCTATTGAAGCTTTTTAGTGTAGCCTTGTTGAGAGCTCTAAGTGAGTAGCGACATAGCCTTTGTGTGCCTAGTGATCATAGCAACTAGAATTGTTGGGATATGTGGCTTGCAACCTTTGTACAGCTAGAGCAAATTCACTTTGCGCCGTCTTGTTTACTAACCCATTTGCTCTAGTGAGTTTATAGATTTTTAAATAGGCTATTCACCCCCTCTAGCCATATTAGGACCTTTCAACCGTGTAATTCAGTATGCCCTCCGTGGTGAGTTGTGATACCAAAAATCAGGACTCGAGTTCAAATCCTGCGGTCCATGGCCTGATGTGTGGGAGAAAATTAAATCATGGCAATCACAACGCGTTTGGCACGATTGTCGCATTCTGCAACCGAGAATCCGCTTCTAAGTGGTTCGAAATTGGATATTTTTGTGGTAGCCACGGTTTGCTTAAGATTAGGCATAGCAAACTCTAGCGCCAAGCAACCTAAAATATCTCCGTGTCAAGATCCTTTACGAACTATAATGCAATTTAGCTTACTGTAGCACCGAATCAAGATGATCCACGATCATGGAGCACTTCAAGATTACTTAGACCTAATCATTTATAACATTTCATTTGTAATTATAGTATCCGTACTGGTCCACGGCTGAGGGGAAATAAAAAATGAAATCACTTTTTATGTATCAACGATTTTTTTTTTCGGACTGCAGATAAACTGTCAAACCTAATAACCTAGCTAATCATGTATAATAGCCATCTGCAAACTGAAATATCCATACTGCTCCATTGCTACCAGCTCAAAGGCCAATCAGAAAGGAAATCTAAAGAAGAAATCATCTCACACTCTCATTAACCATATGTGGAAATAACGAAAATTTGATTTTTCATTACCTCTTGATCCCCAATCTAGGGAATATAGATGACGTGGCAGTTGTCCGACGCATGCACGGTCTATGATAAGATTCACATGTGTAATTATCTTACTTGTTTGACTTGTTTGACTAGGTAGCGTGTCCGTACGTTGCTACAGAATAACTAACAATTTATACTTAAAACACACGGATCGCACGATAAAATAACAATACTGTAAAAATTATATACCAACATTAAAGTGACATTTAATCTAAAAAGCAAAGTTTATAAATTTAAGACAGTCACGGAGTGTGCGGCGTCGCAGGCTCACGAACTCTACTTTATAAACCTTTCCATGATGCGGCTAAGATAATATTTTATATTGGCAGGAAAAAATCTCCGATATCCATTTCTTTCATTGTAATCCATTTATCTGGACAATATTTGAGGTGAGGGCACGGTTACAGTTTCTAGTAGCTTTGTGATATTGTCCGAAGCTATGAGATGATTGATGTCTTGCAATGATCCTTTCGTTAATTTAGTTTTCTATCTATGTTTAATTGTTTATTTAGTCTATTTTATAGGCACGCCGGTAGATAATGGATGATAAAATTCAAGCATCCATAATTTATCTCTTTGATTTTGAGCATGAGTTTTGTTTTTTATTTTTTAATTGATATATTGTCCTTTTATTTTTACCGTAGCGTTAGAACGGGCATGCATGAAAAATGAAGATGTCTTTACACTACAGAAATCTTTCAAGAAGATCATGCATAGATTATTCTTGTATTGAATATTATATATATACAATCACCTAAATATTCTAATTAAACTATAAAATTTTGAATTAGGATATGAGGTAAGACATGCAAACAGATATTTCAAAACTACCTGTAGAGTCCAAAGAACTTAATAAATAAATCCTTCTGGAGGCAATGCAAATTCTTTCTAATCTTTTATTTGATGTAGTTAGTGTTATCATAGTACCCGCATATATTCATGGGAAATAAATTATGGACAAAACGTTGACACTTTTTGGTGCGACATTCCAACATGAGTCCATCATCCTGTCAATATCCTTGAGGTAGATCACATAAAGAATGAGTCTCTCTATGAGATTGCTCACAAGAGACTTAAACTTATATCTGATCATGATAATGTTGAATTGCTTTGCATCAAAAGCATCGGCAATGATAAACGGGGACATATGTTTTAGTATGCATAGTGGAGGAAGACTCAACCTTGGCCTTCTCAGCAGCTTTTCTGAGCCTTTATAGTGTTAACTTGTCCTTACTCAGATAGTCAAGAGGTGCACCGTAAAATTATGCACCACTAAGAAAAATGTCATCATTGGTTGCCTTAACCTGAAAAATATGTCGAAATTAAGAATTACAACACCTAATTCAACGTCTTAGAACAGACACTCAAGTGGATACCTTATTCTACAATATATGTCTGTATGAAATAGTCCTAAAGCCACATATATTTATACGATGAGTATAACATACTTTGTTTTAAAAATTTATGAGAGATTTTTTAAGACACACAATATTATCCATATGTCAGGCACTAATATTTATATATATACTCGAACCTGTGTATATATGATTATGTAGAGATGTAGCGGAACTTATTCACATATTTATTGACGCATGAAAGAAATGGATATCGAAGAATTCTTTCTGCCGATATAAAATATTATCTTAGCCATATCACGAAAAAGTCTATACAGTAGAGTTTGTGAGCCTGCGACGCCGCGCTCTCCGTGACTGTGTTAATTTCACGAACTTTGCTTTTTGAATTAAATGTCACTTTAACGTCGGTATTTAATTTAACACTATTGTTATCTTATCATGCGATCCGTGTGTTTTTAGTACAAAAGATTTAGTTGTCTCATAGCAACGCACAGGCGCGCTACCTAGTTTGAAAAAAGAGTAAATGATTATTGTTTCCTTCCATGCATGATTATTGTTTTTTTCCATGCATGTGACCTTAGGTGATCGATTTGTTTTCTTGAAAGCAGGCGGGAATCACAGGGATGATAGTTTCTTTTTCTATCGCGCGCACGGCCGAAAGGGAGGAGCGACCCAAAAAAAAATCGCACAAAAAAATTATCTTACTTTTGTTCTTTTTAGCTATAAGAGATTTGATTATATATATATATGCTTAGTCATGGCTGCCTACGTGGTGTCCTTTTGGTTTTGATTTGGAGCCTTTTTTTTATTCTATTAGTATGGACAAGGGATTGCCTAATTTCTATTCTTATTATTCTGCTAACGTGACCGAATTGAGTTAGAAATCTATTCAATCTATTAACATACCATAATCAACCTAAATGAACTTCCAGAAGTAGATATAGATAAATTATATATTTTTTAGCTTTTATAAGAAAAAATCAGAAAATACCAGAAAAGAAATAAACAATAGGAAACAAGGATGAAAACTGGGAAACCAGAAAATAATAAATGGCTGAGCTGCGGCTGCCACCCAAGAAAAACAGAAACGGACACCTAACAGCGGACGACGGAAAACATAAAAAAAAATACTTGTACGATCAGAGATTTTATTATTTAGATTAGGAATAGGAAAACATAAAAGGGAAAAAATACCCATACCGAGAGAGATTTTACATTTGGATTAGGTTAAGATACGAGGAATTGAATCTATTTAGATTTGGATTAGGATTCCTATACAGGATACCTAAAAGCTCGACCGGAGATGTCTATTTGTCCTTACTATTTAGGGTCATATAAGTCTAAACGGAATAAACTCTCGACTACCGGTAGTTTTGGAGAGATGGACGAAAAAAATAGATGGATGAAAAAATGACCGAAAATTTTGCCTCTTTATTAGTAGGTATAGATACCAGACATCCAGAAAAATGTCTCGGTTTGTAGAAACAAGTTAGCTCAGAAAATTTTCTCTCAACAATTTTTAGTATATCCAAAGGGTCTGTTAGCCTCTCTCTGAGCATGGAGATACATGCAAGATAATGACTTTGAAATCCCTTAATAGTACAATATTTTCCTATACTCAAAATTCAGAATATAAAGAATTCAGATCTTCAATGAAACTTCATTTGCCACAACTCATCTCAAATAAATTTGGGGGTGGCCATTCATCAAATACTTCATTTCATATACTTAAAACCTGCTCAAATACTTTGTCAACATATTAGTCATTTTATTGTGTGTCATTAATCCACCCAAACCAATGATGGGGCTAGATAAAGTTTCAAGAACCAAACAACCCCTTAATTTTGCTGCCTAATCTACACTGTATAGTTTGTAAAATACTTTGGTTATGAAACAAGATGAAGTGTTTGGATGGAATAAACGTTATAGTTTTAAAAAACCATATAGTATATATTACTTTAAATTGTAGTTTATTAGTTTTTAAAACTCCACTCTAAATCTTTTCTAAACCATAGTTTTACACATCTTTTGCTTTTTAAACTAATAAAGTTTCTTGAAAGCACGGCATCAAAGTTTCTTGAAAGCACGGCATCCAAACGCAAGTGATTTGTAGAATTTTGTCCTGGGTCAAGACTTCTAGTCAACTTCGTCCAGAGCCCAAACCCTCTCCGTGTCTCTAACCCGCACCGTCGCGCACGGCTCATATAAATGCCCCGAGCCGCCTGCGCGTTGGACTCGAACCGAACCTCGCCGCCGCCGCCTCCTCCGTCTCTCTCTCGTCTCCTTCCTCCTGCAATCCCACCTCGCCCTCTAAACCCGCACCCGCACCCGCAGCAGCGCCGCTAGGGTTTGCTCAGGCCCCGAACCCCACCTTCTGATTACTGCGAATCCGAGGTAATCCGCCTTCCCCCCGCGCCCTCTTCCAAGGCTCGAGCTAGGGTTTCTGCGTGCTTGCTAAGATTCCGTTGTTTCGATCTCAGGCGGCGGTTGCGCGGAAGTTTGCGGCATGGCGGGGTACCCGGAGGACAACCAGCACGCGTTGAACGGGTACGACGAGGAGGAGGTCGACGAGGAGGAGGGGCACCCCGGGAGGCGGGGAGGCCGGGATGGGGCCTCTGGGTACGGCGATGCTGGCGGAGAGGATGGGCGGGGGGCGGGCGGCGACTCGTCGGGGTGAGCGATCTGGGCCCTAGGGCTTCTGAATATTAAGGATGTGAGCCAGGAGGAGAGCTAATACTTTTGCCCTTTGCAGGAAGATTTTTGTCGGAGGCGTCGCTTGGGAGACAACTGAAGGTAAAATTTATATGTTATTTACTGGATTGGGTGCGCCTGGAATTTTATTTGTCTAGTTCTGTTCTTTAGATGTTTTGAATGCTAAAATAAAGGTGCTCCCCGAGTGCGATTTGTCTAGTTTGGTTCTATAGATGTTTTGAATGCTAAAATAAAAATGTGAAAACTCGAACTATCTGCACAGCAGGTTGTCATAAAGGGTTGATATGGCTTTTGTTGTTGCGGAAAGCAGTGTTTCTGTTATCATGTTTCCGTTACATGTCCGACAGGTTACTACGCCGAGGCTGTTTTCCCTGTTTGCCTGTTTTTTTTTTTTTGGCTATAATGGCTTAATGTTATTCATGTGAAAATGTGGAAACACGAACTATCTGCGCAGCAGGTTGTCATAAAGGGTTGATATGGCTTTTGTTGTTGTGGAAAGTAGTGTTTCTGTTAGCATGCTTCCGTTACATGTCCGACAGGTTACTACGCTGAGGCTGTTTTCCTTGTTTGCCTGTGTTTTCTTTGCTATAATGGTTTAATGTTATTCATGTGTTTTCTTGCATATTTTTCTTGCCCGTGGCATTATTTGTTATTTGATTGGTTGACTTGCTGCCGTTATTGTCTCATGGATTCAACTATGTTCCAATGTTTTTAATCAAGTTTGTGAATTTTTGTAACTTCTAACTGGAATAGGACTTATGAATGATATACCTGGGTGACTAGTCATAAAAAATTATGTGCATGATTGATGATGCACTTTATAGATACATGTTTCTTTGCATGTTCTGTGCTGCTGAGCATATTTTTGGTGCTTAGCCTTTAAACATTTTTTCAATATATAAGTGGGATACAGTAAAAATTGTGAATTCCTGCATCATGCCCATATTTGCTTTTACTGCCCATATTTGCTTTTACTCATTGTACTGCATTTGTAGTTTGTATTGATTTATAACACACTTGATATTTGAGTAAAGGATACACCAATAAGGAAAGCTGTTACATCTTTTCCAACGCCTGTTACTCGGTTTTTGTTCTTTTAATGAGTCGTTTGTCCCACAGTGCATAGTAAATTGTAAAATTAATATTTCTGTTATGTATGTAGTTAAGTGCATAATGCTTAGATATGTTGCCTGAATTAACTAATCTAAGATACAAGTACTGACAAGTAATGAGATAGCTTGCACATAATCATGAGCTCCTTTCAAATTCATATGTTCTCTTGCCCCAATACATACAACAGTATGGGTTATGCAAGAAATTCCATAGGTTTCTGCTTAATAAAAGAAGGGCACGCCATCTGTGATGTAGTTTACCTTTAGATTTGCATTTGTTGATTGGTTTATCGAATGATGTTTCTAGGTTTGCTCTTATGTGAAATATTTTTTTCGTCCATCTCCAATCTTGGTTTGCTACTTTTTGTGATTCTGTTCTTTTTTCCAAATTGACAAATCTGTATGGTTTATTTGTTTGTATGTAGAATCATTCTCCAAGCATTTTGAGAAGTATGGGGCAATAACTGATTCTGTAATTATGAAGGACAAGCATACTAAGATGCCTCGTGGATTTGGATTTGTTACATTTTCTGATCCATCTGTTATAGACAAGGTTTTGGAGGATGATCACGTTATAGATGGCAGAACGGTAGGACATCTAATTTAGATCGGCCGTAACAGGGACCTCAGTTTGCAGCTCTGCAATTTAGTTGACATTGAGCTTCTCTTGACCCCTATCAACTTTGGTTTATGCAGGTTGAAGTCAAGAGGACAGTCCCGAGGGAAGAGATGACCACCAAAGACGGCCCTAAGACAAGAAAGATCTTCGTCGGTGGGCTACCACCATCTCTTACTGAAGGTAGGTGTTTGCTATCAACGAAGAAATCTTGGACTCAATTTGTTTATGTTACTGAGAAGGTACAAAATTTCAGATGAGTTGAAGGATCACTTTTCATCGTATGGTAAGGTGGTTGAACATCAGATAATGCTAGATCATAGCACTGGGCGTTCTAGAGGGTTTGGTTTTGTCACTTTTGAAAGTGAAGATTCTGTTGAAAGGGTCATATCAGAGGGGAGAATGCGTGATCTTGGTGGGAAGCAGGTTAGATTTTTAAATTCATTTTGTTGTAAACTTATGTTTCACTCAATAGTGAAGTAGAACAAAAAAACTAAATAGACTTAGAAATGTTCATAATTTCATATGTGGGTATTGAAATTATAGACTAGAATACGACTTAGGTCCTGATATGTGACCACTATTTCGGCTATAATAGGTGCTTCGACATCCCGAGTAGAACCCTATAGCTCTTCTATAGGGAAAAGGCATTGTTTTTCTTTCCCTTCTAAATTCACATTTATTGGTATTGCTCACACCTTGTGATCTTAACCTCCTTATTTTTGGTTATTTAAGTTATGGTATTGCTCATTTTCTTGACGATTCATAGAGAATTGGAATTTGATCTAAGATGATTGTGCTGATTAACAGAGAAGAGTGTTTGCTGTTGTTTGATTTGAAATGGTTTTCCTGTTGTTTCAGTTAAATGTCTTAGTCATGTCAGTTAACTTTTTATGGTTTCTGTTTGCAGGTTGAGATAAAGAAGGCTGAACCAAAGAAACATGGATCTGATCACAGCAGTAATGGGAGATCAAGCCACGGAGGTGGAGGTTACCGCAATTCTTACCGTAGTGGTGGTGGAGCTGGTAATGCCAGCAGTGGCAGCAGTGGGGGTGGCGGCGGTTATGGGTATGGTGGTGCTTATCAATCTGCTGCAGCGGGTTATGGATATAATAGTGGCGCAGGAGCAGGATATGGCTATGGTAGAGGGTATGGCTATGGAGGCAATGCTGACTTTGGGTCTGGTTTTGGCAGTGGTTATGGTGGATCCATGTATGGAGGTGCATATGGCGCATATGGTGCCTACGGTGGTGGCGCCTATGGAGGGGGCGCCTATGGAGGCGGTGCCTATGGAGGTGGCGCCTATGGTGGCGCCCCAGGTGGTTATGGCACTGGCGGGTATGGCAGTTATGGCGGAGCAGGTGGAGCTGCTGGTGGTACTGGTGGTGGGAGTACAGGTGCTCGGGGTTCTAGCAGGTATCATCCATATGGAAAATAAGCGACAAGTTTAATCAATTTTTCTGGGTCTCAGGAGTTCCTCTGGTCTCCTAGAAGTTCAGTTTTCATGCCTTGTCCACCTAAACAGCGGCATTGGAACATAGTTTGGTTGAACTCAGTCACCGTCAGAACAACTGTGTAATTGCATCTGCTTAGCCTGCCCGCCTGCCTTTGTTTGCTGTACAAGCTACACATGGAACCTGTGTTGTATTCTTTAGTTTGCTATGCAGAGAACAAGCATTTTATGGTAGGAACAGTACTTGGTGCAGTAGAACCTAAATTCTGTGCTGTAACATTGCCATTGCAAGATTTAACTGTTGCCACATGTGGTGATTATAACTAGGAACCCATTAAAGGATTTAGTTACATCTTATGACTGTTGATTTACTTTCTGCAAATGGAAATGAAAGAAAACTCAGGGATGCGACATGGACTGTGACGTATAAGTGTTGAAATGGCTGCATTCGTACTTCAGTTTTGTGCATGAGAATTCGTATTCTGTTGCAACTTGCAACAATTATTAGTTATGTTCTCTTTTTTTATCACCTGAGTATTATTCTTAGTTTCTTTTTTTGTCATCAGAAAATGTTATACTTATGTCTGGCTCACGTGTCGGTTCTCAATTGCTGTTTAGTATCCATGGTTTAGCCCTTAGCAGCCATGTTTTCGTCCCCGTTCACAGAACAGGAATGAAAACTCGGGGTATCATTTCCTGGAATAGGAACAAAAACTTGGGTTATTATTTTATAACGTGGGAACGCGAACGTTAGTGTTTCCGGAACGTAGATGTTTTTGGAATGTGGAACATGGGAACGGAACGTGGGTCATGTCCTGGCGATTGAGACTGCCATACACGACATATTTGAGTGCCTATTTGAGTGCCGATTTACCTTGTCGACTCTTGGCATTGCCATATATAGTTTTTTGAAAGGACGATAAAAACTTTGGTGTGATTTTATATTAGAAAATAAGATTGTTACAATTTTTTTATAGAAAAAAATGGGACCAAAAACTTGCCACACCGAGGATGACTAAACACACGCTACTGCCTAATGGCCATTGGCACTACCATGTCATTTAGTCCACAGCCTTTGTAACAGCAACTCCAAGAGACTCTAAATCCTTCTTAATCACTAGGATAAGATTTTGATAAAAATATTCTCCAACAGGCCCTTTAATTGGTTATTTAAATATAGTCATCTTCTATTTCGGATTTTTTTCCCTAGTCAAATATATAAAAATGAGAATGGCTCTCTAGAGTACAAACAAGATATAGAAAAACCGTTGAAGAAGATATAAAAAATGATTTTTATGCAAATGACTTTCCAAATGATAATTTAGGGGGCGAGATTTAGAAAGACTCTTGGGATGCTCTAACACCCCCTTGCCCAGATCAAATTCCAAGTGATTATTTCAACAACCTACTAGTGATGTGTTATTGACAACTATGGAAGTGACTTGCAATCTTGTATTAGGGGTTGCTGTTGTAGTTGGAGAACGAAAATATAGGACTCAGAGATGTAAAGAGAGCCCTAAATCCAAACTAGGGGTCTGATTTTAGGTAGGGTTTAAGGGGGTGTTTGGTTCTTTAGTCGCTCCTAAAATTTATGTCACATCAACTGTTTAGAGACTAATAAAGAGCATTAAATATAAATTAATTACAAAATCAATTACATAGATGGAGGCTAATTTCCGAGACGAATTTTTTAAGCCTAATTAATCTATCATTAGCACATGTTTACTGTAGCACCACGTTGTCAAATCATGGACTAATTAGGCTTAAAAGATTCGTCTCGCAAATTAGTCGCAAGTTGTGCAATTAGTTTCGTAATTAGTCTATATTTAATACTCCATGCATGTATCCAAACATTCGATGTGACAAGAATTTTAGGAGGAGGGAAAGGAACCAAACAGGCCCTAAGTCTATCTAGCGAATAAATATGAGGTTGGGTTTGGTTAGGGGCAATAGAGTCATCATCCCATAAGTAAATACTTGCTCCCGTCGATTTATAGATACACAAATATATTAAAGGTTAGACTTTACAATCTTGACCATTAGTTTAATCAATAATTTTTAATTATTTTAGTACAAACTTAATATTATTGTTAAATTCATATAAGTTATTTAATAATAATAAAATTATAATATAAATAAATAAGATAAGATAAGATAAAATAAATGAATCGTCATAAGTTAATTTAACAATAAACTCTGTCATATTAGACTATGGTTATATAAACTAGATCGGAGGGAGTATTCCCCTTCAAATTTAAGATAAACTCGTCCCAAAAATCAGAGGAACACCTACATGGCCTCGTCCCTTGTCGACGACGTTCATTTTCGTGTCCACATGCGAGGGGTGATCGTGTCAGGTGGAGCTAGCGGGTGCTTGGTGCTTGCCTCGATGGGCGGCAGCCCGAGGCCATAGGAAACTGGAATCGATCAATCACAATTTTTTCTCCATCCAAACCTAAAATATTTCAACCATTAGTTTTTTTTGAGTCACATTAGAAAAACAAACCTATAAGCTTGATCTCAAATAATGCAAAAGCCCACTAAATCCTCAAAAAAGCCCAGCTAGAAAGCCCAATTCTCAATCTTGCTAGGCACGCCTCGTCGCCTCCTACTTCAATCGAGAGCCTTTTCCCTGTGTGCCAATATGAAAGATGCTTCAGGCGTACAGGCCACTAAAAAGTTCAAACACACCTTAGTGCCATGACACTTTACTTTTTTTTTTTGCCTCCCAAGCCATTCCGTCCACTTTTCCATCTAACGGTGTCAATCTGTGTTGGAAAAAGTCCCAAATGCCCTCACCTCACTTCTTCACCGTGCCCTTCTTCGTTTTCTCTGCCGGTCATCTTCCTCTCGTCCTTGTGCTCGAAGTCCATGGAGACAGCAGACAAGGGGAGAGGCATAGGATGGGGGCGCCGTCGCCTGGGGCTGGGAGCCTAGGATTCATCTCGTGCCAACACTATTGCGAACAATCAGTTGGCCATTGCATACTGCTTGTATGCACATTGCGCTCAGGAAGACAAACTTGATGGGGGAGGTAACTGCTTCAAATCCTAGCCATTTTAGTGTTCATATAAGCAATACCAGCACTCTCATGTCTATGTTTAGTGTAACATGGTTATGCTTTATCTAATTATGTTTAGTGTCATTATTGTTATTTTGCATAGGTAATATTTGATACTGTTGATAAAGCACTTAACTTATGGTTGGAGATGGAGACTTTTGATCATTCTTCTTCTGATATGGTCTTGCAACAGCCATAAAAAACTATTGTACCACTTATTTGTTTCCTGGTTGATTTGTTATCTATGAAGGTAGGGCCATGATATTTCTTTAGTTTATTAAGTTGAATTAGAAATTGCTTTCCTTTAGCAACATAATCATGTGTATTTATTCTTCCATCTCAGGGCTGTTTTGAGCTTCAGTTTAAGTTGTGCAAGGTTATGATAATGATATGGAAGCAAGAAAATTTACCCCTTGAAAAGCTCTTGTCCTTGCTGTTCACCAGTGGGCGCCTTAGTCATGCATGCTGTTATCTTCCACTGGATGAGCGATTTCTTTCTATTGCCACAGAGCATCTTGGTGTACGTTGCCACGATATTAAATTTTGGATAAACTGTTTCAAAGGAGACCATCCTTCTCTCTGTATGTTTCTTCAGAGGATGCTGCCAAGTGCCTTATTTATTCCTCAATCATGTAAGCATCCCTTTGGAAGGCAGTTCAGTTTTGAAACGAGTGTTGATGAAGTCAGCAAAGTTGCCTCATCTCTGGTATCTGAAGTAAGTTCTGTTGGTTGCATTACATCAAATTTGTTAACCATGATCTCTTATTCTCTCTCAGTTATTGTATTCTAGTTTGCAGGTTACATCAAATGACCAATCAACCTTTCTAGCTGGCTGTTTATACTATGACTTGTCAGAAAGAGTTTTTTCACGTGGACAACTTTTCCAGGTAACTGCTCTCTTGCTTTCAACAATTTAACTTTGTTGTTTAATTTCTGCAAAACATTGGTGCAAAATCTTCAGTGGACATGAACTATCTCTAGATTTTGTAGTTTTTTATGTAACTAAACACATCTAATGTTTGTTCTTACAGGCCTTTTCATATGGAAAAGAAGCCCTCCATTTGCACAAAAAGCTCCTAAAAAAGAAGTTCAAACTCAATTCGGGCATATCTGGATATATGGAAAGACAACACTGTAGGCAGGACATTTCTCTTGAAGTGTGTGGCCCAACAGTAGTTGAGATTTGGCCAAATTCCATCAGATCAATCGACATGAGGGATTCTTTCCTTACTCCATGGAATGTCCTTAGGTGCTATCTTGAGAGCACTTTACAGGTATTGTGATAGTGTAGCATAACACAAACAAAGATTATAGAAGTATATGCTACTGGAACCAATTGAATGGGGGCTAGAGTTGTATCTCTTATTATCAAACCGGGGGACTTTGGCCGCCAACCAAGGTGGCCACGTCGCCCGAAATTCCCCTGGTCGTCCGATTCTTCGATCGACGGTCCGTATTGGCTCCGCCGCTCGCTACAGCACGTGCCCGCCCGCTGCGAAGCCCTCGGCGGCTCTCCCCGACCCCAACCCCGACTCCCTCCTCCTCCTCCTCCTCCTCTCTCTCTCTCTCTCGCCCTCTCTCGATCCATGATGCCATGGCGAAGCGCACGGACCGCACGGGCGGGGCAGCGTAGCTGCGGCCACCCTCCTCCTCCCCCTCCCCACACCGCCGCCGCTCCCCTGTGCGCTGGCGGCGCCGCACCGCATCGCCGGACACGGACCCCGCTCGGGCGGCGCACCGGCGCAGGTGGCGCCGGTCCGGCCCTAGCCCCGGCCTCGGCTCCGGTGGCGCACTGCCCCGCGGCACCGGGCCTAGGCGGCCGGCCCCCGCCGCCGCGGCCACGCCGACCTAGGGTTTCGCGTTTCCATCCATGGCCATCCCGGATCGGCCAGGCCTCGGGCCTCGGCGCGGGTGGTGCACCGGCGCAGAACTGCCACTGCCACGGGCGTCGGCCCCGGCGGTGGCCGCCCCCATCGACGAGCGTCTCCTTGTGCCATCGCCCGAGCATTGACCTAGCTGTGCAGCGTGGAAAATTAGAAGTTGCAAAGGTACTGATTATATTGTCACTAATTTTCTTCTAATACCGTAGACTATATTTGAGGTATTGTATACTGCATTGCTGCAAAATTACTAACATATATTATAAGACCTCTCATGCCTATTTACTGTACAGGCTATCGCCATAGAAGAAAAAAGTCAATCTAAATGGAAGCAGTTGGGCGAACTCGCCATGTCCACAGGCAAGGTTGGCTCTTAAACCTTATGAAAGTTTGTATTTGACATTTAAATAACTACATTGCTGAGAAACAAGTTTTCAAGAATGGAATGCCTCTTGTGTAGTTTGACGTTTGTTTTTTTTGTGATCAAATAGTTTTGGGTCCGGGCCTTTAATCTTCTCAACACTTCAATGGAACATGTTTTCCTTGCCAAAACTCTCCATGCGAATCAGAATGATGTCAATTGAGACATGACCTAAATTGAACATATCCTATCTGTATTAGCTCGTGAATGATAGCTTATTGGCATGGGTATGCCACAACTCTACATTGCAGCTAGAGTTGGCGGAGGAATGCCTTCTTCAAGCGAAGGATTTAAGTGGCTTGTTGCTACTGTACTCATCTCTTGGAGATGCTGAAGGAATTGAAAAGCTTGCTTCTTTGGCAACGGAACATGGAAAAAACAATGTTGCTTTCCTCTGCCTTTTTATGCTTGGTAAAGTGGAAGATTGCATACAGTTGCTTGTAGACAGGTAAATCTTGTTTGCTGTGATTAAATCCTTGTTTTGGTGCTCTTTCTTTGAGAGCTAAACATTATCTTGTGTATTCTGCAGTAACCGTATACCTGAAGCTGCATTAATGGCACGATCATATCTTCCTAGCAAAGTACCAGAGATAGTAGCAATTTGGAGAAACGACCTCAGTAAAGTAATTTCTTAATGCTCCCATCTTAGTCTTCTTACTGAAAAGTGTCGTGCCATTCGAAAAAAAAATTCATGCTATTATCTTATTCTTTTTTTCTGTACATTGTATGCAGATTAATCCAAAAACTGCAGAGTCTCTGGCAGATCCTTCTGAATATCCAAATTTATTTGAAGACTGGCAGGTTGCTCTAACTGTAGGAAAAAACATTGCTTCTCAGAGGTACACATTATCACACAAACTACTATGTTCTGTTCTACCATATTGCTTACCAGAAGTTAAAAAAAAACATTGAATCACAGAAACTGCTTATTTGTTCCAAAGAGTAATGTCACCATTATTGCATCTGCTCTGAGTCTTGAGCCCTGACCACCTCACAGTTTTTGATTAAGTAAAAATTTTGCAATAACATAAATCTTTATGTGCAGGGGCCATTATCCTCCTGCTGACCAGTACTTGAATCATGCTGACAAGTCAGACATGATTCTTGTTGAAGCTTTCAAAAGGATGAGGTCATGGAGCATGAGGAACTTGAAGATGCAGCTGAGGAAAATGGAGAATCTGATCAACTGGTATCTCATGTGCATTCTGCTTCTTATTGTCCATTTTCAACATCATGTTTCAGTATGCCACGAGGGTTTTAACTCAGCTTCGTAACATTGAAATTATTTCAGGTATGTTACAGCTGTCAGGTTTTTAGTAGTGTGGAAGTTCTTAATCACCAATGTTAGCTTACAGTGCTTTGTGTGGCCTTGAGGTTTTAAGACGCTGTTCAAAATTTTGCGTTGTAAATTCGTTATTACGACGCATAGAAAGTGCCATGATTTCAAAAGTATGAATAGTATCTGTGTCCGGCACCATATTAAAAAAGCTCCAGTCTTTCGGTTTTTGTGCATGACATATCTACATTAAACTCCTAATATTATTTATATGCAAAGATTAAACATATTTTTTATCTGCGCCTTAACCAGGTGATTTGCCGGCGCGCGCGATGGCACGCGTAATGGACTAGTATTACATTATTACCACAGCCACGGGCAGTAATGATTTCCTTATGCATGAATTCTCACTACATTATGTTGGCAGGTTGCTATGATGCACGAATTGATTGGCAATGGTGCTGAAGCAGAAGCTCTCTTACGGACAGGAAAAGAGATATCAAATTTCCATGGTTTATCAGTTTTCTGTATTGTCTTTACATCATCTCTAGGTATATATAATGGCAACGTATCAGGTGCAAACCAATCAACCTGTGCAAACTTAGAAACTACCAATCAGGACAACTAGATGCTGATCCAATGGATGGGGTGAGAGGTGTGATTTTTTTGCACTTAAGCCCCCCACCCGTCGGCCTTTTTTTTGCGCTTAAGCCCCCTCACCCTATCCATTGGATCAGCATCTAGTGGTCCTGATTGGTAGTTTCCAAGTTTACACAGGTTGGTAGGTTTGCACCTGATATGTTGCCACATATAATTCTATGAGTTAAATGCATGGGTGGTCCATCAACTTACGCTCTAGTTTCACTTAGATCCATCAACTCTGAAAGTGGTTTTTTGGGTCCATAATCTTTGTTAGTGGCGCATTCCTAGCCCATACCTCCTTTGTTTCAATTTTTTAACCGGCGTGGCACCTCCGGGTCCAGGTGAACGCTGCACACATGCATGCATGTGCATGCATGATGCATTCACGTCGGCGTCTTGGCGAAAGACAACAGACTGGGCTGCCGCTGCGCCGGCTGCTGCTGCTGCTGGCCATCGCCGTCCCCGGCGTCGACGCCCCTGCTGCTCCCGCCGCCCCTGCGGTTCCTCCTATCGTGGACGGACGACGTACCGGTCGCCTCCGCGGATGCCGAGGCCGAGGCCGCGGTCGGACAGGCTCGCGGAGCTGCTCAGGGCCGAGGAGCCGTCCGAGTGCAGCGGCGAGGCTGAGGCCGAGGCGGCGGACGCCGTGGCTGCCAGGAAGGTGGAGGCGTTCGAGGAGTTGAAGGGCGTGGTCGGCGCGCTCTAGGACGGCGGCGGAGGCGGCGAAGGTTGCATGTCCCGCGTCGAGGTGGCCAAGGCCGTGCAGAGGAAGGCCAAGGACGACGCCGGCGCCAGGGAGATGCTCGTGATGCTCGGCGCCATCCGCCGCTCGTCGCGATGCTTTCGACGAGGAGGGCGGCGGCGGCGAGGATATCCACGACCGCTGCGTGTCTGCTGCTTGCTCAACAGGCATCGGCAATGACACGTGAGTTTTTCTGCGCCGCCTTGTGTTGTCTTCCTCTGTTTCGTGATCGATCGGCCGTCTGGGTGGGTGGGTTTGGTTTCGATATGCGTGTTTGTTTGCATGATTGCCATGAACAAGGCGGCGATCGTGCAAGCTGGCGCGGTCCACAAGATGCTCCGCATTGCGGACGGCGGTGGCTCGTCCGACGCGCTGACTGAGGCCGTGGTCGCCAACTTCCTCTACCTCAGCGCACTCGAGGCTAACAAGCCCGTCATCGGTGTGTCCGATGCCGCGCCGTTCCTCGTGCGCGGGTTCCAGTCCGCCGCGTGCTCCTCCACCGAGCAGGCGCGCCATAACGCGCTGCGCGCGCTCCTAAACCTCTCCATCGCGCCCGCCAACACGCCGCTCCTGCTGGCGGCGGGGTTCGCGCCGGTGCTAGTGGTGTTAGTTGATCTCCACCAATAGGCCCAATGGCCTATTGGGCCCTTGTCTTTGCTCCCTGATCGGGGGAGCCCAACCCTAATACCGTTGGTGGACCTCTGTCGCACAACACATATAAAAGGTAAGGTGGGGATCAGGGCTCGGGCTACGAGGTTCAACGGAGCCGCCGCCATCCCACCCACAGTAAACCTAAACCGATCAAAGTAGTGCTGCCAGCGACGGGAAGCCCATCCACCACACCGCCGTTTCCTCTACAGGGTCACCATGGTCTTCACCAACGCCACTAGACTTCATGTCCACCGCACTGGAGGCCTACTACACCGTGGCACCGGCGTCTGTGAGGCTACAGTCAAGGTGTGCAGAGGAACCCAAAGTAGAGGTCTACCCGATTCTACGGTTACACATAGAGGTAATTTACGATCCTAACATTGGTACTAGAGACAGGTTGCCAGTGTGTAACCCTAACCCTAATCGGGTAAAAGAAATGGAAAAGGGACCCGGGGTTGCAGACGTCACTGGAACCCCGGTCACCACCGCCACCGTGTGGGGAAAAGTGTCGATGCGGTAAGAAAAGAAAAGAGTTCCTTATGGATCTGAACAGAGAAGAGGTTCACTAACCTTAAACCCGTAAAAGCCTTCAACGGGAAGAGAAACAGTAGAAAGAAGAAGAAGAGTGGGTTCGGATTTGGCCGAACCCTAAGACCTAACTCTAATTTTAACCCCATCCCAAATCGGGTTGATCCCAAAAGAAGAAGGGGAAGGAATCAGTCTCGGGGAAGAACAGTGAACCCTAGCATCTCGATCTCGAATCAAAACAAATCGGGTTCAACCGAACCCAAACCCTAACTCGCATGGAGAAAGGGAAAAGGGGAAAACCATTCGGATGAACTCTGAAAAGAAAAATAAATCAAAAGAAAATGAAACCTACCTGAATCGGTTGAATTCGTAGAAAGAAGCAGATTCAAAAAGAAAAGAAAGAAGATTCAAAAGCAAATCAGAGAAGGGGAAGGTCGGATTCCGAACCCTAACCCTAGAACAAACCCCAATCCTCATCACCGGTTCGGATAAGAGAAAAGAAATCCAAATCGGAGAAGGGGAAAAGAGGAACAGACCTACCTCGCCGTGCGTCAGGATGGCCCTTCGCCGGTGCGGGAGAAGAAGAGCCGAGCCGGGGGGCAGCTGCTCGCCAGGCTCGGCCAAGGGGGCGCCGTGGCCAGGCCGCCCGACGGCGGCGTGCTCACCCGTTGGGGAGCACGCGCGTCGGCGAGGGGGCCGGCGACGGCGCCATGGATGCCTCGCTCCACCGCCGTAGTTGCTCGGTCGCCGCTCGGTGCTCGCTGCGTTGAGAGAGGAGAGAGCAGCGAAGAGAGAGAGCAACGAAAGGAATGAAGTTAGGGTTTTCAGCCGACGCGGCCGGTCGGTCCTTTTGTTCGGGTGAGACGGCCGGGCGACCGTCGGATGCGATCCGACGACGGATCGTGATCGGGCCAGCGAAACGGCCCAGGCGGGCGCGCGCGGTCACGCAGCTTTGGTGGCCTAGGCCCAGGTTGAGGCACAGGAGCCCAATGTAGCGTCAAGGGAGATGGGCGGGCCGCCATTTTGCTTAAATTTGGCTGAATGCACAGTAAGAAATGATTCAGTTTTTTTTCGTTTTTCCTTTTCCAGCAAATATTTATTTCTGGAAAATGAAAAATAGCTCAAAGAAAATAGAAAAAGTAAATTTTCCCTATGGGTAAAATTCAAGAAATGAGTAAGAGTTTTTCCGCTGCCAAAGAAATTGTTTATCCTCCAGTTAATTTGTACCAACGTGATATTTAATTGGAGAAAAAGAAAGTTTTTCCACTGCTAAAGAAAATATTTATTCTCCTGTTATTTGAACCAATATGATATTTAATTGGAGAAAAAGAGATTTGACATGATTATGATGTTGTTATTATCTGACCAACGTTGTTAATAACAATATCGTAATTTTAATGATTTATGCATTAATTCTATTTCTGCCCGACGGTGATGTAGAATTAGTGTGTAAGAACAGTTATAAATTTTAATGATTTATGCATTAATTCTCTTTCTGCCCAACGGTGATGTAGAATTAGTGTGTAAGAAAGTTGTGAAAGTTAATGTTTTATGCATTAATTCTATTTCTGCCTAACGGTGATGTAGAATTAGTGTATAAGAATAATTGTATATGTTGATTTTGACCAACGTTGGAATCAAGGCATGCAAATGGTGTTATTTATATGTTAAGAAAAGGTTTGACCTGGTTTTCATCTTGGCTAAGATGGATTGGGTAGTCACCTCACCGTGTCCCACTGATTCTGTGGCATCGATGAGGGAGACAAAAGAGAATGATGCCGATTAGGCAACTGAAGAAAGAGATTTTGAATCCCAAAAGATGTCCTATGAGTTTGAGCATAGGAAGTGGGTCACTGCCAACATAAAATTTTTGGCTGTGATAAAGAACATGATTGAGCCTGTAATTGTGGGCTCAATCCCAGAGTGTGACACGGTCATCGAATACCTCGATAGAATAAAGAGTCAGTTCACTGGCTCTTCAAAGACATATGCTACCTAGCTGATAAAGCAACTGGTGACAGAGAGTCACTCTGGAAATGGTGGCATAAGAGAGCTCACGACGCGTCGTCAAAATTATGGCACTGTTGTTTAGGCCATATTTCGAGGGGGAGAATAGAAAGACAAGTTAAGAATGATATTCTTCCTCCATTAGAGCTCTCAGATTTAAAACAATGCAGAGAATGCATAAAAGGAAAGTATATAAAGAAAAGTAAGAAAGATGACAAACGAAGCGCATGAATTTTATAGATTATTCACACAGACATCTGTGGTCATTTTCCTGTAAAGAGTGTGAATGGTTATGATTCGTTTATAACATTCACAAATGATTACTCCCATTATGGCTATATTTATCCAATCAAAAAAAGAATAGAAGAATTGGATAAATTTAAGATATTAAATATTAAGATAGTCAAGTCTGACCGTGGGGGAGTATTACGGTCGGCATACCCTAAAAGAATGGCATAGTAGCCCAGTATTCTACACCGGGCGAACCTCAGCAGAATAGAATATCTAAAAGAATCAATCGTACCCTGATGGATATGGTGGGTAGTATGATAAGTTACTCCACCTTACAATTGAGCCTGTGGATGGAGGCATTAAAACCGCCATTTATATTCTCAATAGAGTATCAAGAAAGTCGGTGCCTAAAACACCGTATGAGTTGTGGACAGAAAGAGTACCCTCACTAAACCACTTGCGTGTGTGTGGGAGAGCCCTACTGAGGCTAAAGTATTTTAACCCAAACATTGGGAAGTTAGATCCCAAAATAGTAAGTTGCCATTTGTTTGGCTACCCAGAAAAATCAAAAGGTTTTCATTTTGTACTGTCCAGAGAGACATACAAAGTTTATGGAAACGAGACACGCTGTCTTCCTAGAGGATGAATTGATGAGGGGGAGCATGGTAGCTCAAGAAATTGACCTTGAAGTGAAGCGGGTGTATGCGCCCACTCCAATCATTCATGAGCTATTTTTCTCACTACCTTCTGTCGCTGCACCGATAGTGCAAGACACTATGGTGCCAGCACCTGTTGTTATCCCACCTATGGCAACAATAAATGACGATGAGGAACCTATTCTTCAGGATCCTATAGAACCTATTGCCACACATGAGGGGGGAGCAACAACACCTCAAATGTAACATGTGCCAAATGTGAAGGCCCCTAGAAGATCTCAAAGAGTTAGAAAATCAGCTATTTCTGCTGATTATGAAGTGTACAACACTGAGGAATTTCAAATGGAGGATGATCCCACCTCATTTGAAGAAGCCACAAAAAGTGATCATTCATCAAAGTGGCTTGAGGCCATGGAAGATGAAATGAAATCTATGAATGCCAATAAAGTTTGGGATTTGGAGATAATTCCTAAAGGAGCCAAAACAGTAGGCTGTAAATGGGTCTACAAAACAAAACTTGACTCTCAAGGGAATATATAGAGATATAAAGCGAGACTTGTGGCAAAAGGCTTTACGCAAAGAGAAGGGATTGATTACAATGAGATCTTTTCTCTAGTCTCATGTAAGGATTCCTTCAGAATCATAATGGCATTAGTGGCATATTACGATTTAGAGTTACATCAGATAAATGTAAAGACAGCATTTCTCAACGAGGACTTGGAGGAAAATGTTTACATGGCACAACCGAAATGTTTTGTCATGGAAGGAAAAGAACGAATGAGATACTGCCTAAAGAAATTTATTTATGGATTAAAACAAGCTTCAAGACACTGGTACTTAAAGTTTGATCAGACAATAAAGAATTTTGGGTTTAAAAAAAACGTAGAGGAC